CTGAACTTGGACGAAAAGAGGAGCAAAGTTCATGAACTAATAGATCATTCTTTTATTAGAAAATCCAGGGAATTAAAAGGCTGATCAAAAGAGCCAAAACTAGATGTGATATTGGGAGGTGCAGGTTTGTCGATGATCCTCCTCATCTTGGTCCTATTGCCAATCCAAGTCATACATAATGCCATTGGATAACAGAGCATCTGGGCATGTGAGGCGCTTCCCCTTTCTGCTGTTTCCAAAAAGTCTTTCATCAACCACTGGCTATGAGGCTATGAGCCTACGAGCCTATAAAAAAAGAAGAAAAAACAAACCATGACATTGCTTTGCACTAAAAAGTTGTTTTTTGTTGCTGAATAAATTTTTATGTATAGTGGGCAGTTGCGGCGACTTGGAAAATACACAGTAGGATAAAATGATGGCTTCCACTGGGAATAATGGGGGACTTTAATTTGTGAGGCTTATTTTTCAACTACCCTTATTTTATATATATATATTCTAAGGATATTCCAGTTCAAAAACTTGGGCTTTTATTTTTTAGGGTTTAAAATGTGAAACACTGTGGCATGGACAACTCTTTGGTCATATCAAGTCCAGGCATGGTGTAGATTGTACCTTTCGCAACAGAAGCTTTTGTTTGCGGCTAGGAATGTAGATTGATCATCTTTGCATCACCTTATCTGATCAATAATTTTTCTGTGCAGATTGCAGAACAAACTAATGGTAGGCAAATGCACCATTTGGAATGATCTGAGGGGGCCTCACCTCGAAAGGAATGGCTAGGTCTCTCTCTCCCAATACAATTATACAAGTATGAAATAACTTCTTACATTAATTTTTTTTATTTTTTAAAATGGGTTTTGGTTTATTGTTGGAACATCTCCAATCATTCTTCTAAAGCCTTATTTATTAATTATATATATAGTATATAGAAAGAAATAATCAAAGAATCTGTCTTTCTAAAGAGTTTTCAACTCCAATCATTTTCTATTTATTAATTTCCAAAAGAACATATTTCAGAAATATATCAAGAAATATTTTATTTTTGTTTTAGGTAATTATATTAATTATAAATATCAGATTATTACACAATATTTAGAGGCAACTATTTTTTTTATCTGAAAATATTTGAAAATATATATTGTATATTCAATTTCCTTTTATAAGCAAAAATAAAAGGTAAATTTGCATAAATACCATATGAACTTTTAAGCATGCCTACGTTTACCACCTGAATTTTTAATTTTAACTATTAACCACCTGAATTTTGTAAAATGTTTCAATTAACCACTTATATCTAACTCTGTTAAAATTTCCGTTAAGTCAAGTCGTATGTGATATTTTGTGAAAGGAAATTTCGTCAATTCACTATAATATAACTAAATAATAAAAACTAACCTAATTATCCTAGGACCTCCATAATCCCTTCCAACACTGTTCTCCCCGACTGCCTAGATAACTCCCCTCCCTACTCTCCATCTCTCTCTCCACCGAATTCAATGTTAACATGGTTGTGCATGAGTTTCTTTTTTGAAAATTGTATTATATCCCCAGAGACTTCAATAGATTAGTACGTTACCACACCCAAACATTATTGTACAACCAACATATCTGTACCTTGAGAGAGTCGCCAAGTTGTTTATCAATGTGATAAGGATTTGATCTTATGAATAGATTTAGGGTTTAGACGTAGGTGGTAATGACTTGACATAATGAAAATTTTAACGGAGTTAGACGTACACTACTAGAAATTTGGGCAATAGGGACCCTTTTTTAGAGACTGATAGTAGAACAATCCGTAAAAACAGCTATTAAGCACATAACTTTATTAAACCGTCCCTATAAACATCAAGGGACACAAAAGCGTTCCTATCACTACTACATTTTTCACTTTGCGCGACGAAGAGAATTTCGTCGCGCAAAATACATTATAGTTGCACAAATTTTAGCGCGACAGAAACTTCGTCGCGCAGATTCCGTCGCGCAAAGATCGTGGAGAAAGACTTTGCGTGACGAAATTTTTCATTCGTCGCGCAAAGAGACTTTGCGCGACGAAAAAATATTGGTCGCTCAAAGTGACTTTGCGCGACGAAAAAATATTGGTCGCGCAAAGTGACTTTGCGCGACGAAAATATTGGTCGCGCAAAGCGACTTTGCGCGACGAAAAATATTGGTCGCTCAAAACTTTGCTCGACGAAAAAATTTATTTAAAAAAAAAAATTCCCGCTTCCCATTTTTGGTACCCGCCCAAATTTTTAGAGTTTTGCGCGACGAATATTAATGTCGCGCAAATATTTGCGCGACGAAATATTTTGGTTTTTGACTTTTTGTTTTATTATTTCTTTAATATTAATTTAATTATATTAATTATTTCGAATTTTTAATTTTTAAATTTAATTTAATTGTATGATTTTTTTCGTTACTTTAATTTAAATTGATATTAATTTATTCAAATGTTTACTTTTTAAATTTAATTTAATTACTTTAATTTAAATTGACATATTCAAAATAAAATTACATATGAAAAATAGTGATCAAATTATCCAATAAATAAATATATATATATATATATACAATATTCAAAATGTACACATAAATTAACAAAGTACAATAAAAAAAAAAAGGGATAATCTCCCCTAAAATTGATATACCACAAATCCAACCCAAACTCCAATCCCTCATCTTTACTCAACCACAAACCCCACACAAACTCAAAACTAACTCCAAAAACACATATTAATGAAAAAAAATTAAAATTTGGAGAGAATCTACA